ACAGATCTATATTTTTATTTAAGGAAAATTTCATGCTGCCAGCCTGTTCAGTTACGGTAATAGAAAGTAGAACAAAGTATTAGCGTTTTTCGGCGTTGAGCTGCTCGGCCGTTCTTGTGTCGTTAAAGATTTAAATAAAGGTTAATCTTTACTTTCAGTCTTAATGCCTCTGAAATATGCTTGCATTTATGATATTAAAGAAAAATGGCGAGTAATTTTTATCAGTATATCTCACATTGCATCCATTTTTTTAACTCAAAGGTACATTTTTTAAGTAATTTTCTTTCCAAGGAAAGTCTGCAAAGGAAAAGCAATATTTGTTCTATAAGAGGAAATGGAGTTGGACAATGGGAAAACCCATTAAAAATCTGAAAATATGCTAACAGTTCCTTTTCATAAATATTAAAGTTTCCTGTTTGTGGTTTTAGAAGAAATATAATAAATTATTGTAATTACTGAAATCATTTTCCTTCATTGTCCACGTCTGAAAGACGTATTTCTCATGATATAGAGCCAGACTTATAACTTAAAAGATTTATGTAATAAAATATGCACTGCGTGTTCAAATATTTTTATAACCTATTTTCATTTAGATAGGAAGAAGCAAATCATGATACTAATCCTGAAACTAAGAGAATACTTAATGAAAATTACTTTTTAAAGCAGAATTAGTGAAGAAAATGAAAACTGTTAGTACAAACTTTTGTTGCTTGTGCTCATAACAATCAGGACTAAGAAACAGTTCCTTAGACAACAAAGCGAAAACTTTTCCGATAATGAGAAAAATAGTACTTAAGTATACATTTATGTTAGACTTACTCCATTATTATCAGAAGTATATAAAGTTTAAAAGCTTACAAATGTTAATTTTTCATTAATGCATAAATATCAAATTAGAAAATGGGATATTTGTGTATGTGTGTGTGTATGGTTATAAAACGCGAGTGCAAATGTCAGTGACGTTAATGCAAATTATTGAGTTTATTTTTTGTTTGTATTTATAATTGTTTTTAAGAGTCATCTTTCTGCATTAGCGTGTACGAGGATAGTTTTTTCCTCGTCATCAAAGTTCGTTTAGATTGTAATAATGTACAAATTGTTTAAATTCTCATTATGAGCAATACGTTTGCTCATATTCTTTTAATTACCTTTTCATCAATTCCTTGTTATCTATCACCTTGTGAACTATATTTTAAATCACTACTATTATATGATAAAGTTGGAAAATGTTTTACGTTTATGATTAAATGTTATGCTTTTGTATGCTGAAAGACAGTAAGTAGTATTCTTTGCTCGACGGATATTGCAGTAATAATCTGTCACTAGTTTCGTGGTCTTTCTTTCCTACATCTGCGTCACGCATGAAACCACACTATTTACATCTGTACTTCTTTTTGTAGAATGGACTTCTTTTGATTACCACTCTCACTCTCTTATGGGAATGAAGCTATGACTTCTCCCTTTTAATTGAGAACCTGATTCATCATGAAATAAACAAATGGGATTGTGGAAGGGAGCGTGTCATTTTCTTAAAAGTTGTTTGACATTTTCATTACAACTCTCAAACAACAGTGATTTGCTTCGTGATTTTATTTGAGAATAAGGTACGTTATTTGCCTCAATGAAAATTTCTTTTTATACCTTTTGTTTGCTTTGTGGAAAAAGTAGTAGATTATTTGAGAAGTGTTTTATCTAAGCTTTTGAATGCCGATGGTTTAATTTTAAGGTATTCTTTCGGTAATATTTTCTTTTGGCAATATTCTTTTAGTAATATTATTGGTATTATCTTCGAAAATTATTGTATAATTAATTGTTTGCATTAACTCGCTTTCCTGTTAAGATTTTTCTTGTTCCAGCGTGTCATTAAAGCAGCATTAATCAATAAAAATTGTCTCCTAGAAGTAGGATCTTCATGCAAATAGTAAAAAACTGCGTTAAATTTTTGAACGTAAATAAATTATTTGGAGTGAACAAAGATCTATTTTATCTGATATGTGCATATTTTTTTCGAAAATGGGCAGTGATGTGAGGAAAATATCCGCAATGATCTTAGTAGTGTTTCCGAACCGATCCTTCGGAAAATTTTGAACTTTAAATATGTATTCTTAGCGAGGGGGAAAAAACACTTTTGCAACATATTTGTCATATAGATCGCAACACTTAAAATAATGCGTATGCTGTGTCTCAGCTTGCTTATAAATAGAATTATTACAAACGGTTAGCACTTGCAACAGTGCTTAACCCTTTCGTGACAGCGAAGTACGCCACGAATTCAATTTTACGGCTTTAACTTTTTACTTTAACATTAGATTCCTCAGGTTCTTATTAGTACATCAGTATATTTAATCTCTTTTCGTTTAGTTGCGCTGTGTTTATATATAATTCATTTTCATCACAGCTTTCCGAATCATTCGTGTTCACCACATACCTCTCTCTTTTTCTTCTTTCAGATTTAGTGAACACTTGTTATAAGGGGCCATAGTCGTTAAAAGGTTTAATAAATTTAGCTTTTTCGTTAATGAATGGAACGATTCTACCTTGCAAATAAAATTTTTAGGTATTACAGTATCGCTATTTTGTATTAACACGCGATAACGATCGCAAATAAGGTGAGAAATTTTTTTCTTTTATTTTCAACACCTTGCTTACTATGCAAAGGAAAAATGAAGGAATCTAAACTGAGAAACAATCTAGTTCATCTTGAAAATCGTTTATTTGTCTACATCTTGACTAATTCTAAACACTCCAAACACAAAACTTGAATAGATAATACAATGCTTTTATTAATATTTTATTATTATAATGAATATTAATGAAGTATTCATAGTAATAATAAACCCAGATCATTGTGTCGGACGATCGCTGATATTTTGTTAAGTGTTATTTTCAATCTAAAAAGGTTGGGAATCTCTTCTTCATTGATATATGTAACTTATTCTACTAAAAGCAAATGTAACTTATTCTCACTTAAAGTTGTCAGCAACTCACAGTTCTTAAAATGCAAGGTGGATTTCCTGTGTCCTAAACCTGGAAATACAGGACTTTTGTCTAATATGCTAGCGTTCTCCGGTTTAGAGGAGGGGCTTGAAACCCCTAGTCTTCTGACCTTTACCTTCGAATGGAGACTACCCAAATATTTCCTCTTCACCGTTTCCTAAACCCCTAAAAATGTTCTATTCAAGGATTTTCGACCCCCTAAAACGTACCTCTCTCCTTTTACCCTTGAGGACTAAGGGGCTAACAACCTCTTTAGGTCCCACACTGCAAAAACTACCATGGGGGCCTTAAATGGGGCAAGAATTATAAAAGAACCCCGTTATGGAAGGCATATAGGAACTGTCATAAACTCCTCTCACAGGTGCTGCTTGAGAGAATTTGGAAGGAAGGATACAACCAGGTTAAGGGTAAAAGGACGGACAGATACTGAGATGATGCCCAGGATTTGGTGGTGGAGGGAGGGTTACTGACTACGGTAAAGGGGAAGATATTACAAAAAATATGCTTGCTTTCTTTCCCAGCTGTTTAAAAGAATTTTTTTTTTTTTTTTTTTTTTTTCTTTTTCTTTTTTCTCTTCTATTTTTGATTTGTGTAAAAGTAATGCTGTATCAGTTTGTTGTTTAAAGCGTAAAAAATTTTAGTGTATTTTTAGAAGAAACTATTTTTGCTCTTTATTACATTCGTATGAGTGTTACCTACATTTACTTTCATATATATTCTACCGCTTTAATTGTAATTACCAGAAACGAAAATAAATGCGACATTTGAAACTGCGTGAAAAAAAGGTGGAAAATATTCTGTCTACTTCTTTGTATATATGTATGTATTCCAATAATTGAATTGCGTATGTTAAACTATTAAAAAAAAATTCTGCTGCCTTCTCCCTCCCCCCCCCCCCCGAAAAAAAAATATAAATTTTATCTTTTGAAGCATGCGTCCTAAATCGTGAAGTAGTATTTTTTGTGCTTCTACATAATGCATCTCTTTCTCTCTCTCTCTCTGTATATATAAAATTTAGGTCTTTTTGTTACATTTTTGTTTGAAGATAAGTTTTTCTGCATTTCTTAGTCCTTAAACGCCTTTATCTCCACACTAAGAAATGAAATTAATTTTAATATTCACGAAATTTAGGTACAAACAAATCCTGTAACTTGCCCCTTTTTTCGTCGCTTTTAGTCTTGTCAATAAGCTTGTTGTAATTTAATTTCTCAAAATATTAAACTTCATTTATCTTAATATTTGCCATGACTAGTTTATTTAGAAGTAAATTAAACGTGAAAATTCAAGCATATCTGCACAATGTTTAAATGAGCCATTCAAAGCTCATAATCAATAAATTTCTATCTTGAGAATGAAAGCATTAATACAAATCATTTGATTGGTCATTTAAATTACATTTAGTTTTACTCTGGTATCCATTAACTTTGACATATTTATATGTAATGATTTGGGAACGACGCAGATAAATGTTGAAGCACAAGTAGTAAATCCGTAATAAAGAAGAAATGATGTCATATAGATGCAGTAACACGCAGATTTTTTTTTTTTTTTTTAAGTTAAAACATTTTGCGGCCACAAATACTTAACACATTAATCGTGCCTCTTCCAAAACAGTTACATTTTTGATTTTGTTGAGATAGGAACGCAGCAGCAAAATGCGTCATTTTTAATCGGTTCATACATATGGCTTAATAACGCTGATGACGTAGCTAATTCGAAACCGAACATTGTGATAATTTAGAGGTTCCCAGTCGTGTTACATGTCTAGAATTTAACAACGAGCTGACTAGAGAAGACGAAATCAATCAAGTTATTGATCATGGTCGAAACACTCATGCAGAAAGCGTAGTGAATGTCTTGAACTCTTAGAACTTTAAAATCCTTGGATAATTACAGTATATCTTTATTACTTGACGATTACGTTGTTCAAACATCATATTGATGTTTAAGGCATTATGTAATATCATTTTTCATGTTGATGATATGTATCTTTTGTTTTTCAGGGTCTTTACCTCCCAGTCCGGCAGACAGTGGTGTATCCGATGTTGACAGTAGTAGCAGTCATTTAAGTAACGAAGAGCCCAAACCCCGTTTACTTGGTGCTCCTGGTAAGTATCCTTTCTTTGTCTGAAGATAATGCTGAAAGGAAACAGACGCCTAATTTACAATTTAGCGTCCTTTTTTTGCCTACCATGTTGTCAATTTTATTGTAAACTTTTATTTCACAACGGTGATCAGTTTTATCAGTATGCTTCTTTGCATACATATCATTATAAAAGTTTTATTTTCAGAATTCAATCAATAATTATATCCAACTAAAGATTGCTGTATAATCCCTTTGTATGGCCATTTTTATTCCACTCCTCTTTTCCCGGGACCCCTACCCTCTTTTAGCCGTGGTCAAGTTTATTCATACCACCCGCTTTTCAAAGCATTTGCACCTTAACCGTAGTTGAGGGCTACCGCAACATGTCAACTGGTTGTGGCCATTTTGCACTTTTAGTTGCCACAGCTGTTCGAACAATTTCTAGTTCGGCGATCACATTATTTGCTTTCAGACCCTTTAGAGATAGGTCTCCGGTCTCTTTTAGACATTTTTCTTTCTTACTCCCGGTAGCCATTATTCCTATTGTTAGATGCTTCTTAAAGTTCTTACCTCTCTCTATGGATTCGTATTTTTGTCCATCTCATCATAGTCACATGCTACCGACACCGGAAGTTAACGGTCAGGTGGACATTATTTGATGGTCAACTTCTGATCTATATATTGTTGTCAATCAGCTGTGTTCTGAATTTTCTTTTTTCATCTCTCAGCCAGAAGCAGCAGTTGCATATTTGCCTCAAAATCTTGTTAAATAGCATTACACTTTTCTAAGCACTTAGTGATTGAGCATGAGGTTAAGTGATCCATCCATTCCTGTGTATTTGCTGCCGCTGTTTGAAAAGTACTCATTTGGTTCAACAATGCAAGCCCAAAATAAGAGAGGCTGTAAGAAAGCATTAAAAAAAAAGTAAAAAAAGAAATGTATTTCCAAATTCATTCCCAGCTTAGAGAATTCTCCTTTAGGGATGGAATGCCTTTTTCTTGAACTGTAATTGCAACATCTTTGCCTTAAAGCTTACGTTCAGTGCACTGGTTGCCGACTTTCTCAATTGTGACTCATCTTCTATTCTCTAAGCCCCACTTTGTTGTGAAATTACCAGATTCTCAATCACCACTTTTGTCTCAGATGCTTTCTAGATCTCTTAAATGATTTTTTGGTATATTTTGTTGATTTCAATCCAGTTGCTAAAAGTAATTTTTAAACTAATTAAAATTCAGAATTTCTCTGCCTTCTTAATTGTACCAAACCAAGCAGCTTTTGATAAAAGTTTTATTTCGAAAATGAAGCTGGGGACTTTTTGCTTTTGATATTTATCCCCAGGTCATTTGTCACTTTTGCGAAGTCATCGTAAACTGCACTGTTTACTGCTTTTTTCTCCCTTTTCTCATGACCAGCCCATAAAATCTACCCAGACATGTCCTTCCAGTCGCCTCTCATCACCAACCTGCCTGTCTCTTGTGGCTTCAGAAATTTATTATCCTGCCCTTCCTTTCCAAATACCTTCCAGTAACAGCTATTGTGGAAGGGGTCAAGTTTATGGTTGAGAGCCTTTGTGAACTTTTCTCCATTTGAAAAATAGAATCCCTGCCTGTGTGTATCCTCAGGAACGTTTCTTTCTTTCTTTTTTTTTTTTTTTTTTTTTTTTTTTTTTTTTTTTTTTTTTTTTTCTTCCCTCATACGGAGGAAACAGATATGCGGAGCATTTGTTTGAGAATTAACTATCTCATGTCGTACTTTTAACATGATATTGAATTATTTGATCTCACGTCCCCGTATTGTGATTTTTACTTGACAGCAGATCTAAATATGACAATATAATATAGGATACGATTTGCAGAAAATTATTTATCTTTCACGTACCTCAAAGATTATAGCTCGGATCAACATTTTTTTTTTTAATCATACTGAAGACTAAGCAGTTATTTACATTCATTTGAAGATGGATTAGTCTGCTAATGAGTTAATACGAAACTAAATTTTTTGCAGCACTAGGAATTTTAGCTGCACTCCTGAAATTAGCATATTTATTTTTGTGCAATCTAGTCTGTTGCTTACATACGGAATTTATTTAAACTAATATTTATTTTGTATTAATAGAAATATATAATTTATCTCTATTTTCAAAGAACATTTTCTCATAATATTCAGTTATATTTTTTGAGAAGAGAATACGCATTAGCCGTTAATGTTATATAATTATTATTATTTTTTTCGTTATTTTGTAGACTTAAGATTTCATGATATTCTATGTTTAGTTTTTCATACTGTTTAAAAAGGTGCAGCTAAATATATAAATATAACTTTTGGTAGCCTTCAATATTAACGTCCTCATCTAAAAATATAGATTACTACGGATTCTAGTTCTTTTATAAATTATTTGAAACTGTCGTACATTATATATATTCTGTTTATATCGTTATGAGTTTCAATCAGGAGTTTAGATGCTACTTGTTTGGTTAATTGCAGTTGCTCCTGCAAGGACACCAGAATCCCCGAGTCCAAATGGTTTGTCATACGCCACATCATATGGACACGCCAATCAGTCTCATTTACAGCAGTTCAATAATCGAGTACATCCTCAATGTGAGTACGCTTTAACCACAAAAAATTATTTGCTTTATTTTGCAGAGAATGAATAGCGCTTTTATGACTGTAAAAGTATTAGGTTGCTGCGAAGGTTACGGAGTATAAAAATTTTATTTTAACTATGTATTATATATATATAAAATAACTGATAATTTTAGTGTTCATATTTCAGTTTAGAAAAAATAAGCATTGTGCAGTTATGTAAATGGGCGGGAAAGTTATACTTTTGTGTATGTGTGTGATCGACACTTATTTAACGTAGTTTTAAGGAAATAAAAGTATTCACTTCGTTGGGTTTCATTTTTATTATCTTTGTTTCTGTTTGATAGTCCTTTCCGGCCGGTAGTCGAGTCCGACTTTCAGTTCCGGCAGCTAAACCTCTGGCGACTGCGAGAAGTTCAGCTATTCACCAGCTGGATCTGGGTGCATACGCATTGATGCGAAACTATCATGGTGGTCGGTCAGCAGTTATAACACTCCTTCCCCCTTTTTCATTATTATTATTATTATTATTCTATGATCTAATTTTTGTGCGTTACACATGAGGAGGAATACAAAATCACGCAAGTTTTGGTGTAGCGCCTCCCCCCTTCCCGCCTAATTTCTTTTAAAATCTTTTGTGTTTAAGTTTGAAATTCGCTGAAAACCAGGAAATATGCTGGAAACATGTCATGGGAAATTTGCTGTGGTCTTTCCGGTTAACCCGAGTCTGCGAAATAATCGCTGTTGAATGAAAAAAGGTTACATAGCACTAGAAAACGAGAGTGCTAAAAAAATTGCGGTCTTTTTTGCATTGTGTGGTGCAGGATATGCTTAAGGTGGGGCATGATGTTCCAAATTCAGTTTATACAGGATTACTACTCCACGGGTAATTCTGACTTTCCATCTTCTCATTTATCTTCCAATCATGTGTCACTAATATTCCTAAAGTACTCATTTATTTTTTCGTTCATATTTCTGTTTGTGATCTTGCAAATAGTCGAAGCTTATTTGAGTCATTTTTGGAAATTTTGTTCAGCGTATCACTGTGTTTAATTTCTGTTTAATCATTTAAAAAATGAGTCCGACATTTAAAAACATGTAAAAATTGTTTTACTTCACAGTAATCTTGTAGACTAGCTAGCTAGTAGCACAGTGCTGCACGGGCTATTCAGGTTTGAGAATGTTCTGCATAAAGGCACCCTTCCTGTTAAATAGAAAACCCTCGTTTGCCATTGTCATAATCGATTAATCAGCAATTATACGAGACAGCATGCTGCAGATAGTTGTACCAAATAAAACCAATTTAATATGTTCTTTTTAAAAACTTTTAATAAAACTTTCTCTTGTCGTCAAAGAAGATGGTACTGTGACTTCGTTCTGTGCCGAATACTTAGCCAAAGAACAACACCCTTCTCAATAATCAACCATTTTAGTAGGATCATTTAATTGATTGCATGGCCGTTTGTATCTTTCTTAGAACGTAAAGACTTTATCGAAATTAGCGTTATAGCATATCGCACGATAGTCGAATGAGATAGTATTGTTTCTTTCGCGACAAAAAGGATTGCGGATGTTTTCTTCTGTGTCATGAGGAGGGGGGAGGGCAGTCTTGTCGTTTCGACGCTTATCACCATGCATTTTATTCGTCGAGATATTCTGTATTTCTTTCCTTTTTTTCCTCTTCCTGCAATAACTTCCTCGTTCGCGTGAGTCAAGGACAGTCGCTGTCTTAAATAGTCTGAATAAATACTTGGAGAAAAGCCCTGCGGCAATTTTTGAAAAATATTAACGCGTTATTTTGTAACGTGCGTCGCTACTTGTTTTTTATGCTAATTTTAGTTTCGAGAATTATAAAATTTGAACTTTGTTAGCGCAGAATTATAGCTTCTTGAATATTTTGTCACGCGGTAGTCGCAATGATAGTTATTTAATGTTACTCTCATTGTAGCTAATGGAATATGTAATATCATTTCAAAATTTTGAAAAAAAAAATAATGCAGTCGATTCAGATGAACGCATGATGATTTCAGAATGTCCCATACTATTGGTTTCAATTAATTAATTTTTTATTAGAATAACATGAACGCCAATCGTCTTGTAGCTTTACAGTTCTTATTAAAGAAGCTGGCAACCGACAAAATGTTAATAGTTAGCAATTAAACTAATTTTTGGAATTTGCATTTCCGTTAAGCTACTTGCTGATTTCTGTGATGTTGCGTAGGTGATTTTACTTTTTGTTTGCAGTATGAAACATTCAGGTTGCTGAAAACAATGTACCACACATTTCTCACTCAGTTACTATTTTGTTCCACTGAGCAATAATTTCTTACTGCACTGCCAGAGCGAGTTTAAGTCCGAGGACAAAACGTTAGAAGTTCATTAAAACATTAAACTCTGAAACATATTAAGAAGCAGCGATTTAAAATATATTTCAAGCAAAAAACAAAAACAAAAAAACTTTTATTACACTAAATACAAGCTTGTTTCCTTTAGAAATTTTTTCTGATTAAAGCCCCCCCCTCCATTTAGGCAATTAGCTCTCGTATTCTTTATCATATTGAAACAAATACACTAAAGTGAAAAAGGGAATGAAACCTTTAGTCAAGTCAACAGATATCTGTTGTTACCAGTTATCAAAAGAGATATTTTTTAACGTTTTTATTTTAAAAATCATAAATAATTTTTCTGAATATATGAAGCTGCGAATAACATTTATGATAGATATAATGTAGTTTATCTTTGTGAATATAAAATATATTCGTATTCTGTATATCCCCCCTTTCAATATGATTACGAATGGTTCCCACATGATTGCGACGATCTCTAGAGGTTAAATATTAGAAAGATGATGTTGAATACCAGTGTTTATTTACAGCAGTAGTACAGTTGCTTTTACAGTTGCTCGTCTGAGGGAGGTGGTCCTCACAAAGGGTTCATTATTGATAATTTGACTGCATATACCGACGACTGTGTACGCAGTTTTCATATCGTACTACGCAGCCATCTTTCATACTGCACAGCTATATTTTCTTTTCAGGCAGCTATCCTTTCTTTCTGCTCTATGGTCATTTCGTACCCCAAAAATAAAATTTCCTTCTGTTATACTCTAAGAAAAGTTAAATAAAGGATTGATCAAAACATAAGTGAACCAAGTTTCAAATATCCCGAAAATCTGTCGAACCCGCCATATTTCTGACGTTGATTTTGATATTCTTAACTGTTCATAGCAGAAATTCATATCTTTTACAATATAGCTGACAGCTATAACTTTGACTTTCGAAAATAAGTATTTTATTCACTCTTGAATGTTGTTTTGATTGTTATTAATCGATTCTCTTTGTGCTTTTACTTATTTGGGATATACTAATATATTTGAAAAACTCTCATAGTACGAGCTATTAATCTTACATTTGGCATTACCATTATGCATCGAGAACGTTTATATTTTAGTTGCGTGTGGAATTATTTCACTTGTTGAAATATTTTAAGGTGAAAATTCGGTTTTAATATTCAGCGCACATTTTTAAGAAAAATAAAAAATCTCTTAAATATTAAGATATTCAGAATATTCAGACAAGTCTTTTGTTACTTCATCCACAGGGTTGTATAATTTCTAATCAAATTTCAAATAAAAATGCCCCCAGCATTAAAAGTGTAACTTTTCCCTAATTATGAAGCAAATTTTATTATTTTTAATTTTAGATGGTAATGAGCAAGCTAAAATTACTGTGACATAATCCCCCCCCCCAGTTTTTAATGTGAGGGATGCATTTAGAATTCTAGGAATTAAATGCATTGAAAATACTTTGCAGCCATAACATGCATATAGTATATCTTAATTATAATTTCTTCAAGATTCGACTGACTGGTATTATTCTGAATTCTGATCACTGCCCCTACCCAATAACTTGTTCTGTAAGAAAACACGCATTTTTACTGGCTTGAAATTATTTCTCATTTTCTAGCATATCTGTTATTTATTTTAAATGCAGAAAATCGTTCGAAGTGCATGAAATAAATACTTTATTAAGGAAGTGAAATTTGACGTATCTTTACATGGACATCCTTTTGTATAGACATTAGATAATATTTTAAATGTTACTGACAATGCAAACATTTTTAGGCTGCACGTTTCAGCATCTTCGATTGTAAAGAAAAATTAAAATTGTTTTCCTGATTCGATTCGGTCAGTGGTCCAAACTCCATTTTAACTCACAACACTGTCGCTTACCAAAAGCAAATGACTTTTTTCCATTCAACAGTGAAACTTGCTTATGTAACTTTATTAATTGTTTTTTGAACTCACAACAGTGTGTATTTATGTATTAATATACGTTCGGAGTTTGTAAAATAGTGTCGTTTTGCTGTTGTGGGATTTCAATCTTTTTATGAAGGGGAAAACTTATTTTCAGTTGCTTTATAGGCGTGCGTATTGTTCGTAATTCAGCTTTTCATTCCATCATAATTGTTTATTTGTTTAAATTGTCCTCTCAGGTAGCGTTTAAAAAGAAACAAATATACCAGAAGGGAAGAGTCTGGAAGTGGAAAAGCAAAACAAAAAAAACCAACAAAAACAAAAAACAAAACAAAACAAATAAAAAAAGTTGAGATAGAAGAATGGTGGATCAGGATAACTTCGAACTGCGATTGGTCTACCGATGTGATGATGTCATCAGCTGCTAAGCGAGACAGAAAGAATGGGAAAGGGTTTGCACATTTGGCATACTTTCGCTGTTGGCGAGACTCACGTGGCGTTTTGTAAACAAACAGTTGCGTAATATTTGCATATCGCGATGAAACATTAAAGCCTGATTGTGTAACAAGTGTAAAAATTTTCTTTAAATATTTATTATGCAGGATGCGTTGGTGTAAATAGACGTAAATAAGCAATTGACATTTTCTGAAAATAAGCTGACTTGTGTTTTTTTTTTTTTTTTTTTTTTTTTTCCCAAATTTTCCCTCTTTTCTACCATGCTGTAAATGCTGCTTCCTAATTTTATTTCCTAATTTTCAAA